AAATTCACACTTTTTTAAGTTAACCGTTAAACCAGCATCTTTAAGAACTTTATACACCCTCTTAAGGAGGTCTATGTGATTTGGAAAATTATCAGAAACAACGATCAAATCGTCTAAATAACAAAAGGTATTCTTATCAAATTCAGGACCAAACAATCTATCAACAAGTCTTTGGAGTTCAGCAGGTGCATTGGAAAGTCCAAAGGGCATTCTGATGAATTCAAAGAGACCTTTACCAGGAATACAAAATGCAGTTTTCTCGCGGGAAGCAGGATGTAATTTAATTTGTAAAAAGGCTTTAGACAAATCAATTGCACTAATAAATTTAGCACCTCTAAGGTTATCTAGAATATAAGAAGTATAAGGTAATGGATAAGAATCTTTAACAGTTACAGAATTTAATTTTCTTGAATCTAAACAAAGTCTAATACCCCCGTCCTTTTTAGGAACGGTCAAAACAGGAGAACTCCAGGGAGATTTGGAAGGTTGTATAATTCCCTCTCTTAACATAATCTCAACCTCATCATACACTTCTTTCTGCTTAGCTGGGCTTAAAGGATAATAGCGTTGTTTAATCGGTTCACCAGTAGTAGTTATTTTATGTTCAGTTAAATGAGTTAAGCCCAAACCATTCTTTTCGTAAGAAATATCTTTAAACAATTTAATTACTTTATCGAGTTGTTTTGTCTCAGAAGGAGAAAGATGAGCAGCAGATGTAACAGAACAAACGTTTACATCTCTGTCGTTAACAAACGTTATGTGTTTAAATAAATCTTTAGCCAAGTCAAATTTTAACCAAAAATCAAAACCTAATATTATATTTGGTTCAAAGGAGGGTATAACCATAAAGGAAACTATTTGTGTAACATCATCACAAGTCACAGGTAAATCTAAAATTCCAATTATATTTTGAGAAGATCCATCCACTGTATGAGCTTTTTTATGTATGGGTTGAAGTTTATATCCTAATTCTAAAAATTGTGTGTGACTATTCGCACCTAAAACGCAACAATTAGCACCACTGTCTAAAATTCCAGTAAATTTACTATTTCCAACATTAAATTTAAGATAAGGTCTATTATCAGTGTTTTTAACAAAAAGAATTGGAGCTACTTTATAATTTTTAAAAAATACCTTCAAGTAATTTATCCAATCATCAAATTCTTTTCTATGTCCACTATTAACATTAACACTTCTATTTTCCATCGAGTCTCGACACACTTCGCTACAAAGCGGAGCTCGATGATGCCTAATTAGTTTTTTGGAACCGGTTCAGAAATTTCGACTTTTTTGTTACAATTTTGTGATTTATTACAGTCGCAGGTGAGGGTAGTCACTCCGTGTCTGTGACAATTAAAACAAATAATGCCAGGAATGCTTGAACAATTTCTATAGTTATGACCTTGACGTTTACATTTTAAACAAGTTAAATTTTTATCACTTTTAACGTTAACTAAATGAATTTTACTACCCCTAGAACAAGATGAGCGTGACTCCGATTTAATAGAATTACTATCTGAAGCGAGTTCTTCAATTTCTCTTCCCAATCGAACAATTTGGTCAATAGAAGTTATGTTTCGGCCAACAAAATACATGGCATATGAGCGCAACATATTATGCTTAATAATGTTAATTAAATTTTGTTCCGAAAGTGGATCAGAAAGACGAAAAGACATATCCTGCAGTTCTATTATAAAATCAGACAAAGTTTCTGTGGATTTTTGTTTACGTGTGCGTAAAAGAAATTCAAGTTGGTAATCAAAATCAAGTTTATCAAAACGTTTAAGTAAATCGACTTTAAGAGAATACCAAGAACTATAATTCACTCGAACAGTGCGGAACCACTTTTTTGCAACACCAGTAAGAAAATCTGAAAACGATGTGACAATAAAGTATTCATCAATATCTCTGGAAACCATGTACTCATCAACACTAGTTATAAATTCACGAACACAAGACTTACCATCAAACAAAATTTTACTTTTGGAGACATCAGGGCGTTTATAATATGTTGACTTTTTCAAATGGTCAACACCAAAATTATGACCTAAATTTGTACTATTGTGTGAAGCATTTGTGGTTATTGGTTGCAAAGCTGGTTGCGAATCAAGCAATCTTGAATTGTGTAGTGTAATATTATCAGTCAAATTTATCAATTCAGGTGCAAGTGGGTGTGTAAAAGCAGGCGGTGAAGCTAAATCACTTGTATCTGTTGCAACAGTAATTGACTGTTCCTTAGGCTGTGAAGCAGTAGCCAGTGCAAGTTTTTCCGTTTCCATTTTTGTGGAATGCAAAAATAGCAGTGAAATTATTATTCAATTCACTCAAATAAGACACAAAAAGGTCAGCAAGATGCAGCAAGTTTAACAAATTTAATAACCTATGTCAAAATTATTTGTCAAAATTCAACTAAGTTCCAATTGTTTTATGTAAATTATTACTGCAATAATATGACTCAAATAACAAAAAAGTTTCAAGTTAATGCTAAATGTTTTAAGTTAATCTTAAATTAAGTATACACTTGTTCAATAACAAAAAATTCAAAATTAATTTTAAAACTTCAAGTTCTAAGTAAATGCAAATAATGATAATTGTTACAAGTTCAATAAATACAAAATACCACAATGATGATAAAGGTTTTCAAATTATTATTGAATTAAGTTTTAAATTACTTTAAGTGTAATATATTTTTAAGTTGTAACATAAGTTTTAATAATTTAATTTCAAATATTAAGTTTATGACAATTTTAATTAATACCTATTATTGTTCTATGTTTAATTTCAATAAAAATAATTTCTTTAACCACTCAAAATAACCTGCAGAACATTGTCTTTTATAAAAGAAACCTGTTATAAAAGTTTAAGCTTAATGTAACAAACTATTTTATATAGTAGATATAAAATGTTGGAACAAATAGTTCTTATATAGCATAAACAAGAGAATAACCTTTGTGAATTTGCATTTAGAAATGTAAATAACAAAGTATGAACCAAATGATCACATCAAATAGCTATGTTTTTATCAGTTTAAACAAAAGGACAATACAGAGTTTGTCTGTTTGTTTATACTTTCACTAGTAAATTCTTTTAGTAGGTGGTTGAACAAAAAATATTTTTCACATTATCACTTGTGAAATAAATGGTGTAAACACAGCAAGTATTCACATAAATAAGCAAATGCTTAGCCGCAAGCAACAAATCCAAAGATAAATGGTAGGGAAAATAAAGTAGTACACACAAATTAGTTATTATGACATTAAAATAAAGTAGGCATATTATGTTTCATTTAATTTGAACCACACTCAAATAAAATTTTAATAAAATGGCAAACCAAAAAGCTTGTAAAGTGAGCTCGCTACTTCAAAACCAAGTCCCTGTGAGCTGGCGTCAATTGTAATATATTAAAAAAATAATGTGAAGGGGGGCTTGTAAATAACAAACAACAACTTTTACTCTTGGTTTGCCATATATTTGAATGAAACTTTTATATATTTTGAAATTAAAGTTAAGTTTATAATCTCTAGTCTTAGAGGTGATTGGAATTTTCGAACTATTAATAAAAAGGTTTTACATCACCAAATGAGCTGCTCCTTAATGCATCGTGCTTACATAGCTGCTTCTTAATTATATAGTGTTAAGCTGGCGTGCCCAAGATTGTGATGTATCAAGTGAGTGTGGCGTGGCTCATGCGGTAAAGGTTATGATCCGTACATCAAAATTGAAGTACAAGAAAACTTGTATATAAAAAAAAAAACGCCAACGGCTGAAAAGAAAATCACACCGTTTAAAATTTAGAAAACAAAACAAACGAAAATATATCGGTCGATCCTTTCGAAAACTTACCGTTTTAAAACAAAAAACTAAAGCAACATGGGGCAAGGTGGACCCCTAAGTAGGTTTATGTTTCCACCTGCGAAGATAAAAAATTTGAAAATAGGAAAATACTATAAGAAAAATTATAATTCCATGAAGAATAATGCTTACCATTATTAAATATAAGGTATTTTTACTTAAATACCGTTGATGCAACAAGATTAAAAATATAACAAAAAAAGTCACATCTTTTCGTTATTTAAAAAGGTCGTGAAGTGACAAATGTCAAAACCGACAGTGAAGTTTATATTTTTTTTTTTTTTTACGAAACAAATTTTCCTCGGGATTAGGCCCATTCAGCCAAGTTGTATGAAAAATTACATGTGACGTAAATTTTACGTTACAAATCTTTACCCCCGTTAACTTTAAACATTAAAGAGGTGTAATCTGTAAATAATACTTTTTGACACAAATTCTTCATAAATATATAAATTAATACCTTTTTGAGTATCCAATCTGAATGAGCTTGCACTAGTCGATAAACTAATGACAGTCAATGACTTAGCTACAGAGTTCTTGAATAATGTGGGGTAAGTCAACTGGCTTAAAAGAAGCAATATTATTAAGTGGGTCAGCTGTGGCAATTCCCTAAACACTTTTCTTTAACTTCAAATAAATTGATAATAAGTCCTGGTGGTTGGACTACATAATTTTTTTATATTTAGACAAACAAAAATATATATTTAAAAATTTTCATTTGTTTATATTGATTTTGACATTATATTTTATTAATATGTTTGTTTTAATTTATTTTTAACTTCCACCACATAAGCTTTTTATGTCCTTTTCATAGTTTTATAATGGTAAATTGCATTTTACAAGTTTGGGAAAATGTATGTATGTGATAAAGAATAATACACAATAATAACACATTATAAAAGTTAAGCTACATCTCCAAATATGTTAATATTGCATAATATTATAAATTACTTTCTGATGTCAGCATTATATAGGGTAATTATTAAATTCATATTCAAGAATTCCTTTTGTATTTTTACAAAAAAAGAAAAACAATATTTCATGCGCACTGCAGGACCAATAAAATTGAAAAGCAAAGCCTAATGTTGCAGTGATAAGGGTTAATATAATGTTGATGAACCATGATTGATAGGTAATATTAAACTTACTTGAGCTATGTCATTAAGTAAGGAAGCAGGAGCAGTATATCCAGATCTTTTCTGTGTGATTGGAACATTTTCCACATCTTCATCTTCTACTTCATCATTGGCAGCTATCGATGTAACGTAGCCGTCATATCTGGATTTACCCCCTTGACCAGCATTATCGTAAATATCACTGTCATAGTAAGTGTCTGCAAGGGAGACACCCTTTCCAGAACCGTTTTCAGGGAGTTCATTTTTTTTAGACTGTATTTCTCTTATTTGAGCTTCAATAGCTGAAAAAAATATCGATAACTGAAAATTATTTTGTTCATATTCATGATATAGAAAGATGTCTTCGATTTTGACACGTCCGACGATATAATATAGAAGCTTTATATATTATAGATTTTAGGTTATTTCGATAAAAGTGGTTTAATTAATAAAACGAAAATATTATTTATATATCCAATAAATTTAGAGCAATTCAAATCAGCAAAATTTCATGTCTTTTATTTCCTCTGTGTACATTGGCTAAATTCATTTACTACTAAAATGGCTGATACTTTTATTGGCAAACGGGAAAGTTAACATAATGACATCAAATTTGGTTACCTTCATGAGTCCTTGGTATCTTTTCCATTATGTTTTTCGCAGCATAGATGTAAAATTAATTATATTTTGCATAAAATATTGATTTTTGTTACAAACAATAACAAATTCTTCACATTTACAGCTTCACCAAAGAGAATTTAAGTATTCTGTGCACAGACCAGCGATAGGCGATTATATTTTTAAAAATTGAATTATTCGATTGTTCAACATAGTCGATAAATATCGACTACAATTGATGTTATTAGATTGTTGTTAACAACTAAACCTTGCGGTGGCAGTGGGTGGCAATGACACGCTGCGGTTACCGTAATTATTTATCGATTACATTCTAGCGCAGTGTCATATTACTATACCCGTGCGTACTACTTATCGAGTCTGACTCGCACTTGGCAGTTTTTTTTTGTATTATATTACTTCTCTTTCTTGTTAAAAAAATAATAATATAAATACCAACTAATTACTAATAAAGTAAGCAAACAATCAACGCAACATCATTATGAGGAAGTATTTAAAAAAAACCATTAGTTCCCGAAATCAAACTAGATGTCGCTACAGTACGTTCTTGATTTCTCCATGACAACCTTTCCCATTTTCTTTCATGTATAAAAGTAAATGTGGAAGTATTAAAAAAATTAGTTCCCAAAATTTAACTAGATGTCGCTACGGTACGTTCTTGATTTTTCCATGACAACCTTTCCGGTTTTCTTTCAAGTTTAAAAGTAAATTAGTTTTCAAAATTCAATAAACAACTCATATTCTATTTGTACTTTTCGTAATTTTATTGATATTTAAGTTTCGAACTTTTCAAATTTCAGTTTTTTAAAATGTTAGTTAAAAGGAACGGAAATAACTGTCTTTGATCCATTCGTTTCCTGTAAAAATCAACTTTTGCTAGAGTCGTCATCTAGTGGAGGTGCATTTTTAGTGCTTTCGTTTCTTTTTTAAATACATCATTATGCTACTGCGCATTCGATTGATGATTTAGTAGTTCCTTGCACAGCCGTAGCTAGGGGGGGCATTGTGGGGCAATGCCCTACCTTGAAATCACATTGCCCTACCTTAAAAATAAGTAAGATAAATTATTATAATTAAATTTTTTGTTCTTAGTTTGAGATCTTAACATTCCGAACGTACCACAGTTTTTGACATTCATTTCATATTATAATAATTCTTTGCTCTATGTATAGATGGCATTTGAAGCGCCATCACATGAAGGGATGGGTCTATTTAATTATAATATCTGTGATGCCGAGGGAATTCCTCGTATCATAGATTGCAATATGGCTATTTTGTATTGCAATCTATGGTACGAGGAATCCCTTTAAAAACGAACATTATCATAAACTAGAGATTCTACATTTTCAACTTTAACTGCAATCAAAAGGCCTCAAAGAATGTCAATGGGTCATGAGTGAATGGCTGATATGGTATTTCTGACCCTTGGAAAAAAAAAGAACAAAATCAGGTGATCTGAACGAAGTTTTTCACATTTTTAATAACATGGCAAATCATAGAATTCAGTTGTTTTAAATGTGATTATTATTATTATTACTTTTTTATTATTTTAACTATGATAATAAGTTTGCAGAAACAATATGATCTAAATGGTATTTAAGTTATGTCTATTTACTCATATCACCCCATCCATTAGTTTACTACGTGGATTATAAGATAATATTAAAGACTCTCTACATCTTGTTCACTTGCCCTTCATTATTGAGGATCTAATAGTTCTTAGATTCAGGCTCTTGTTCTGTCACAGAAATTATTTGTTTACGTATAGCTATTGACCTAGTGGTCAGTTATAGACATGGTGATTGATTTAGTAACCCGTGCTTCGGAGCAGATCAATTATGATATTTTTTTTACTTCCGCCCTACCTATAACCAATGCTGCCCTGCCTAAAATTTGACTCTAGCTACAGCCCTGGTTCCTTGCCATGATTATTCGCCGAAACCACATCTAGAATGATCAAGGTTTTCATTATTTTAGGACTCCTCAATTGAAATTAAGTCTTCAGTAAAGTTCTTAGGAATGATAATGGATTCTAGACTCACTGTTACTGAAAACACTAATACCAGTGAGTCTAGAATCCATTATCATTCCTACTATGGTACATAAAACAGAAACATGTTCCCAAAAAGTTTATTTCAGTGTTATGTCATCTCCGCATTCGTCACTCAAGCTCGCCAGTTCATTTGGTCGAAAATAATGTTAGTGATAATTCATTTTCTGAGTGCGGCCTAGATGAACACTCTGATGAACACACTGGTGTTCCTCCCACAAGATGTCCCCGGTCCCATTAATATTAAAAATGTACTTCAATTGGTTGATACACTTTGTTTAAAAACACTTATTAAGTTAAAATTATAAAGAACAATTCCATATTCCCCCCTTAATAAAATGTTATGCCTGTCTATGTGTTGTGTTGTGTGACGTGGTGAATGCAATAAAATGTGTAATGTTTTGTTTCACGTTCGTTATCGACATAGGAAGTATTTAGTAATTTATTTACATATTAGAATCAATATCGTGTATTGACTATCCACGTGATATTGCCGTAATTGTTATGTTTATTATCTATCATACAACGGGGACGTCGCAACTATAGGAATTTTTCATAAAACAGACTATATAACTTACCACTGAGAATACCGTCTTATGCATGCGAGTTTTTTTGACACTCTTCAGTGAGTGACCGAACAAATACCAATACAAAGATTTATTTCATTATACTACTTATTACTCGATTCTAATTTATTGAATCCAAAAGTACTTGGTATCAAATGATAAGTCGAGTCAATACTTGTATTTGCTCGTATTGCTTCAACCCTACCAGTGCATGCGTAGCATTAGCTAGTCTATGAATGATGTATTGTAGAATTTGTAAGCTACCTATCTCTCTCACATTTTGATAGCAAAACGAGATAGAAACTCATGTCATTTTTTATTTTTTTTTACAATCTTTTATCTGTATTTTTGTCTATGCTCTCATCTTTCTCTTCGCGGTTGCGCTAGGTACGTTGGTATCGTAAAACGTAAATTAAATTATTGTTTTTATACGTTTAAACTATATAATTACAGCTTAATTTTATGCAGGAGGAAGAATAGCTGACCCTGGCTTCCACAGGATAAATATTCCGATCGATAGGCTACAGTACATACGGTGAGTGTCGAATTTTATTGTAAGTCAAGTTCCACGTCAAATGTGTTGGAAGGTGACACGTATTATCACAATTGTGGATAACCATCATCCACGAGTTTCTTCGACTTCATTGTATATGTTATATTTTGCAGACTAATTAATTTCTTAAACGGAGAGACATTATTAGAATTACATTTATTGAAGATATTGCGTATGACGTTTATTGTAGATTTGATTAGGTATAGTATGTTTTCAACTCGAGTCAAACGTTTTTTAAATATTTTATAAATCACACTTGATTGGATAAGTTTATGTTCATCACACTAAACAGATAAGCTTATGTTCATTACACTAAATAGACTTAAGTATGTTTATTGTAATGAACATAAGCTTATCCATAGTCTGTTTAACTAACAAAATTAGCATTTGATTTCGTCTATAAAAGTACTAATCGGGGATGACTTTTCTTGGTTGCTTTATCATTATTCAGGATCATAAATCGGATGTATTAATGGGCTTTAAATTTTTATTAGTAATCATTGTTTTTACTATAATAAATATTTGGTCTAATCCAAAGTCTGGTGCTAGATTTGAGATAGAATTTAGGTAAAGGTAAAAATAATTATTTAATTTGTTACATTTATTATTACAGGGTGCTATCCTTATGCAAGAATACATCTAAGTAATATGCAATTGTTTATGAATTATATTATTTTCAGAAATTAATATTTTATTACAAATATTTTAAATTTGACTCTTATAACATGTTTAGAAATTGATATCTACAGTATATTTTATTAATCCACTTAATTATTCCTATGACAGGCATGTCAGCCGATTCATTAGTAAGCTTGACCAATTATTTCAAATGTCTTGAGTGTAATTTGTTTAATTAATATGTATTTGCAGTCTTTGTGAAATGTGATTATATTTCTTTCAAGACTGGTTAATCTTACTTTGATTTCATAGACATTCATAACATTTGGTAATATGAGACACTTTTGGTCACTTGCACAAACATCAATTAAGGTTTAATAACACCTTTAAGCTCTAATGGAAGTCAACTTTGTATGGGTAATGTAGCTATAAACTTATGAAAATTTTAATTGACGTTTGTGCAACTGGCTGATTATTAATTAGCAACAGAGGAACATATTAAAAAAAAAACTTTTCAAAATACTTACAAATTTATATTTCTGGACAACTGGATTAGTTGTTAAGATTACACAAACATATAATGCTATGAATTATGAATATTGATACATATAAAGAACAATTCTTCAATTAATGACTGTTCTAACACAGGGTAGATGTAATATGTAAAGAGCTATTATAGTTTACTCTTTGGCTTTATATAAATGAAGAAAGTATTTTTATGATTTTGATTATTAACTACATTTATGCTTGTAGATGTCTAGGTAATAAAGCCAAGTATATAATTTAACAATGAGCTGACTTTTTCACACCAGAAGAGGTATGTTTGAAACTACTATGTAGGGAAAGTACCAATAGTGTAATTTAGATTTTTAACATAGGTGTCATATTTTGTGTAAATATCATTAAACATGATTGAAGTTACTCCGCCAATCTTTCACTTATTTCAGCCAAAATTTAACAAAGAAAACTTTTTGGTTACTAGAAATTCTTCTGTATACATCTACAAAAACCTTATTAAAATAATATGTGAATTGACAATATTGTAATTGATTGAACATCACTTATAAGTATCTATGTAATTGCATTGTAATTGACTTGGTCTGTTTACCATATTATTTTCCACAACATTATGTGAACTCTAAAAATATGAAAATAATAAAAAGTAATAATTTATTTAATTTTGAAGCCAGCTATGGTATTTTTAAAATAAAAGTAACAAGTATTTTATTTCAATGTACCTCTTGAAATATGTATAGTTTTGAATTAAACATATAACCTTGAAGGCATTCAACATGAAAGAGTAATTAAATTGTTAACAATTGTTCAAATATGTGATGCAAATATGGCTTGTGTCCTACTAGTATAAATATAAACCATTTAACTTATAAGTATTTAACAAAATAAATTTTATGATACTTATTTGGACAATATTATGCATTGAAAACTTGAAGGAAATTAGGGAAAATATACAACAAAAATATATATGGTATTAAATTAGATACATAAAATTATATAACTTTCATAATATTAGCTATTAACATAATCGCACAAATAACTGACACCCATATGTTTTTCGCTAACCTAGTACCATGTGACGTCACTTAGTGCCTTGAATTTGTAGGGAGTATTTCACAGCAGTTCCACAAACAGCACCGTATCTCCGAAAATATTATTCGCAGACATGCTGTTCCTTCTACATTATGTCTAAGATATAAATGGAATTATTTATATTAAAAAAAAAGTTGTCAACTAGCCTATTGTTATTATGTTGATCATGGGTTCACAGCTATGGATATAAATGTGATACATTGTTTTAACAGTACTGTAACGACTTGGCGCGGACAAGGACTGCTGGAGGAGACGAAAATGATGCATCAGCAATCCATGATGGTTGGAGATATGTTACCCGTTCACCCTGAAATACCCGTGCATGCTGAGGAAATGAACAATGTGGGCTACGACAACAGTGGCTCATATGCATATGATGATCTGTTTCCCGCGCTGCCCCACTCACAGCCTCCGGTGCAGCGCAATATACAACAAGTGACTAATAAGCTCCGTGTTGGTTCTTCTTTGCACACCCAGGTAAATGTTCTTATTACATTTATAGAATAATAATAGCACAAATTATTTCATGAGTTTTCAATATTACCTGTGAAATTTTTATTTACACCTAAACTGTTAAGTAATTCAGCCTCAAAATGTGTTACTCTAAACTTAGAAAGGCATAGTAATTGTAAAGAATGCCACAGTGACAATGGTGATAAAAGTAATGCCTAAAAAAAGCATAAAAATTAGCTACTACAGAGTAGGAGAAACTGGAATAAAAAATTTAAAAACTTAGTTACTATGCAGGCCCTAAAATGTATAGCTCAGTCGAATGTTTGCTTTGATTAGCATTTTCCCCAAAAGTGTATTGCATCACTTAATATTAACCTTTGCTTTGCTTAGTACATCTATAGCACACACATATCTGCTTACACATTAGTGGATTCACGAAATGAATAGATAATATTTTATACAACATAGCAATTAAAATTGATAACGTTTTTATGGATTTATTCAGTCATTCTATATTATGAAATAGGTATAGGTAGATACAAATTACAAACATGAGCCTAATCTAGACACCAAATATTACATTATCACTTGATAGTAGTTGTTATGGTTAGTTAGCTAAAGATAATAAATTAGTGACAATGTTTTGCTAAAAGAAATTAATATTAAGTAAAATACATAATATAAAGAAGAGTGTAGTAATACAATATAATAAAGAAGTATGGCACTTTTTACCGATATTTGGCCTTATGTGCATAACTCGGCCATCTCTTATGCTGTAGTCGGCCTCTTACCCACTGAGGTACTGTTGCATATTGGTCTTACAAATTTTACTTTATTATATACAATATCATAGACATAAAAAAAAGCAGCAAATAACGGCAACTCATATTCTAAAAATTTTCTTATACCTATTTTAACTAATAAGGCAGCCATAGATTCAATCAGACATCATGTTAATGGTATAAGCCAAGTTCAACACTATTTATATGAGTTTAAAGTCAATAAAGGCCAACCACTGGTGCGGAGCCGACTTCTGGGTACCCTAGTAAGTATAGAGAAGGGCAATGTTTCTCAAAATTCAGCAAAAAACTTATTTGCTCAGTAAACATTCAATAAATTTATTTGAATCCTGATTAATCATCATTACTTTTAAAGTTAGATATGTAACTTTACTGTTGTGCTACTAATAAAAAATTAGTAAACACCTATTTACTACCTTTAGGGGTAGAACAAATCCATTGTGGCAATTCTACCCCTAAGGGGTGAAATTTAGAAATATAAAACTAATTTCACGATATGTAGACCTTGTATGTCTTACTAAGTATTTTTTCACAACCTCTGGATCAGGTATTTACTTTTTTATAATCACCATCAGCCCTGTTACATCCCCACTGCAGGGGGCCTTTCTTATGGATGGTTAAGTAGGATGGGCCATGATCCTTCCACGCTGGTCCAATACAGATTGGAGGGTATAAACGACTGCAAACGCAGCCGGAAGCACGAAGTAGCTCGAGATATTAGTTTTTCACCCATCCTGTGACCGACCCTTGCGAAAGTTGCTTAACAACAACGATCGTGTGACGCGGTGCTTATCTTCTACGCCATCAAGCTACTGTTTATTTAATCAGTGGCACAAAAATAAAGTTTTACATGTCTAACACCAAAACAGATGGATTATCAACCTCTATTTCAGTCCTTAATTTTATTAATAACTCTTCATGTTCGGAAGTAAATATTTATGAAAAAAAAAAATGTTTATTGGATTTTCCACTGTATAAAAATAGGTTTGACAACGGCTTGCGTACAGATATAATAAATTTATTGCCATTGTGTACATACATAATTTGTAACTTTTATTGCGTCTGGGTTATGTTCTTGAACAAGCCACAAGAGCGAAAAGTAATTACATTAAATTATTTAATACTATTGCCAATTTTATACAGGTTCCAAATTATTAACTACAAAAAATAATTTTATTATATTTAATCTATTTTGCAATCACAATGCTATACTAATTTTGTTTTAGTTTTTAGTTTAATCCGAGAATAATATCACCATCACCTGTTCTGTCTTACTTATTGTATGTTATAACAATATATTTTAATAACAGGTATTCCATGTGCCATATGAAGAAAGAAAACTAGACAACGCCAATACATTCGGAGAAGGAGAATCGTTGAGAACATGTCAAGCCATCACAAAGGATACCGGAGCCCATATTGAAATATCTACTAGCAAGGATGGAAGTCTTACTTTCCTTATTACTGGAAAGCACAGTGCTGTCCTTGAAGCCAGGCGACAAATTTTGACTCATTTTCAGCAACAGGTGTGGCACCGTAAAACTTTAATCTATCACTTATGTAGTGTTATATAGGTTAAAAAATTAAATCTGAATATCTGCTATATCATTATAACCCAAATAAAACGTGTTTCTCGATTAAACCACTAGTAAAATATAGATGACCTCACAGGACATTGAACCTTTTAATTTTGTGATGTCAATGCACAATTACACATAAGATTTATTTGGCAGTAGAGACATGTAATACATGTCACATACTTAAAGTAATATTACAGCAGATGAATACCTACAAAAATTTCAAACTCATGTTCTTTATTTTTCTTAAAAACATGTATTTCAAATATACTTGAATTTATTGAATTGGACAGGCAAGCAAGCAGATTTCAATTCCTAAAGAACATCATCGCTGGATCCTGGGAAAGCAAGGTCAAAAGTTGAAAGAGCTTGAAAAAGTTACTGCTACCAAAATTAGTGTTCCAAGCATTTCTGACGACAGTGAAACTATCACAATAACAGGAACCAAGGAAGGCATTGAAAAAGCTGAACATGATATTAGAATATGCTCTGAGGAACAGGTAAGTTCTATAAACCGATAATTTAAACCTATGGTTAATAAAAGCTTGTTATGTTTTTTGAAATATATATTTATTTTCAGTCACGTAAAGCTTTGGAACGCATTTCGATCCCTAAGACCTACCATCCGTTTATCCAAGGTCCATATGGCGAACGCGCTGCGGCCATTAGCGCTGAAACTGGCGCCCGCATTCATATTCCACCGGCTTCCACACAGAACGACGAAATCGTCATTGCTGGCGAAAAGAACGGCGTATTGTCAGCTAAAGCGCAAATTAAGCAAATCTATGATGATATGGTAAATCATATTTAAGTACTTTTCTTAACATCAGTCACTAAATAGAAGTTGCAAACTTAAAACTTGCCAGTGAGTTGCAATAGATTTTTTAGGATAACTTAACGAAAACGGCATAGCACCTTAAAACTAACATGACAACGATCTACAGGTCAAAAAATGTTCGACGGTTCGAGTGGAAGTGCCCAAGTCACAGCATAAATATGTAATTGGAGCCCGTGGTACAACAATCCAGGAGATATTGAAAGAAACCGGCGTTTCAGTGGAAATGCCGCCACCTGATTCCCCTACTGGCACCATTACACTCCATGGACCTCATAACAAAATTGGCCTTGGTGAGTTTCAATGAATTTTTATCAGTTTTAGTGAGTTTCCATAAATTTGCGTAAAAACTTGGATTATTACTTAGCAATTATATTTTTAAATGTAAAATTACAGCATTATCAAAAGTATGCGAGAAAGCTAATTCTGTGAAGACTGCAACTGTTGATGCCCCTACTTGGATTCATAAATATATAATTGGTAAAAATGGTTCCAATATAAAGAAGATAACACAAGATTTCTCCAAGGTATGTAGCAAATTAGCTAGTAATAAAACTGATAAAAGGTTATTTGTAGCAATATGATTGATTTATATGGAAGTATTTTTTATCCAGGTTCACGTTGATATTACGCACTCTGAAGATAAGGTCAAGATAGACGGTCCCCCAGAAGAGGTAGAACGTGCCCAGGTGGAACTAGATGACTTTGTTAAGAATTTGCTTGCTACTCTTACCTATGTGGAGTTATCTGTCGATCCTAAATTCTTCAAACACATTATTGGAAAGAGTGGATCCAACAGTATGTCAATATTATTTATTTTATGTATACCTATAGATTATTGCATGTTGTGTTATAACATATATTTTTATTTTTCAGTTAACAGACTGAAAGATGAGACTGGTGTAGTTATTAACATTATTGAAAATGAAGGTAATAACGTTATTCGTATTGAAGGAAGTCACCAAGGTGTCGCTGATGCGGAGAGAGAATTGAGGGAAATGGTAATGAAATTAGAAAATGAAAGGACAAAAGAAGTCTACGTTGATCATAGGTATATTAAATCTCTTATTGGAGTAAGGGGTGAAAAAATCAAAGAAATCCGCGAAAAATTCGATCGTGTTCTCATATCCCTGCCAGATCAAGGGCAAAAGAGGAGTCCTATCAAGTTAAGGGGTCCACAGGAAGACATTGAAAAATGTGAAAAGTTCCTCCACAAATTGTTGAAGGAAATTGCTGAATCTTCTTATGTGCAAGAGGTTCCTATTTTCAAACAATTCCACAAATTTATCATTGGTAAAGGTGGTGCGAACTTGAGGAAAATTCGTGATGAGACCCAGACGCAAATTGATTTGCCTGCTGAAGGTGATGACAGTGACGTCATAACTGTACGCGGCAAACGAGAAAATGTAGAAGAGGCAGTTAAGCGGATACAGCAAATTCATAATGAAAAGGCAAACATAGTTACCGAGGAGGTCACTATAGCGCCAAAATACTACAATTCCTTGATTGGAGCGGGTGGTAAACTTATTCATTCCATTATGGAGGAGTGTGGGGGAGTGCTTATAAAATTCCCTGCTGCAGAGAGCGATAGTGACAAGGTGGTTATTAAAGGTCCTATTGAAGATGTAGAAAAAGCCAAGCAGCAATTGCTCGCTCATGCTTCGGAGCGCGAGCTCACTTCTCATACAGCTCACGTCCGTGCAAAACCGGAACATCATAAATTCCTTATTGGGAAAAATGGTGCTAATATTAAGAAAATTCGCGAGCAAACCGGTGCTCGTATAATCTTCCCAACTGAGAAGGATGAAGACAAAGAAGCAATTTTCATCATAGGTAAAACATTTCTTTTCTACTTTGTATTATATTTTTGTTTTATTAAGTAATTAAGTGTTAACACACAATTGAGTAATAATTTGCAAATTAAAATTTTTTGATTGTGTTGATAGCTATATGTTATATTCGTCTTTATATTCATCCAAAACCTTACCAATCTTAGTACAGAATTTACGACTTCTTTGCATTGTCAATCGTCCATCTTGAGTTACCTACCGATGTTAACTACTCTATGGACACTAATACATGTCACTTAAAATTAAGTTAATATTTCAGTTAACTGCTTACTTAATAAGTGTAAAGCAGCCATTAGTGACTAAAACTGTTGCTTAACTTTAGTAATATGTGTTCATTTATAGGACGTGAGGAGCAAGTGGAGGCGGCGCGCAAGCAACTGGAAACAGCTGTTGCGGAAATCAGCAACGTATCCGAAGGCGAGATGTGTGTAGCGGCACGTCACCACCGCCACTTTGTCGCGCGACGTGGCGAGGTGTTGCGTCGCATCGCTGACGACTGTGGCGGTGTACAGATCTCGTTCCCCAGGCAAGGAGTCAACAGTGACCGCGTTGTACTGAAGGGGCCCAAAGAGTGCATCGAGGCAGCGAAGGCTCGTATCAGCGAAATCATCGAAGACTTGGAAGCCAAGGTTATTAGTCGTACATTTTACTTAATTTAATATCTGGTGTCCTAAGGTAGATTTTTTGGAAAAGTTGTTTAAAATATTTAATAGAATGAGGCATAATTTAGTTTTTTAAATATATTTCTATTCATTAATTTAAACAGTCCCCCGAAAACAGTCAGTCACGTGACATTTCGAGTTATGATGTTACATTTCAATAAACATGAGTACAGCATGTGTAGCATGACAAATTCGAGAAACGCTTAGTAGAGCAATCAGATTAAGGCTTAATATTTCCAGTGTGATATATTGTTAGAAGGTTTGTTAAACTGAATAAAGGCTTATTTTATTTATTTATAATGAAATTTTAGGTGACTATTGAGTGTGTGATATCTCAAAGACACCACCGTACCGTGATGGGAGCGCGTGGTGCAAAAGTTAAGGATATCACCGCGGAGTATGACGTTCAAATCAAGTTCCCCGAACGTGATACTGCTGAGATGGCTGATATTCCCGTCAAGAACGGTGATGATAATGCCGAGCCTGGTGTAAATGACATCATCAGAATAACTGGCCGTCCTGAGAACTGTGAAGCTGCCAAGAAAGCTTTGTTGGAGCAGGTGTGTTTACTTTAGTTTTAAAATATAAGGTAACTGTAGTTACACAAGAAAAAAATGTGATTATATATTAGTAAATAATCCCTATTATGAATGACCATATTAGAAATGATAATTTGTATTCTATATGTTTTAAAATTGTCGTCTCATAATATTTACTCTTTAAAATCATTTTGTAGGTGCCCATTACCATTGATGTGGAAGTTCCAAATGAACTTCATCGTCTACTTGCTGGCCAAAAGAGGAGAGAACTTATGCAGACTTATGATGTCCATATTTTGCTGCCGCCGAATGAAGACCCTAGTGATTTGGTTAAGGTAAATTGAAAATATTAAACAATATAAAAGTTAATGTGTTTCAATGTTGTACCTTAAATATCAATATATATAATAATATTTTTTTATATAGGTAACCGGAACGCCAACTAATGTAGAGAAAGCTAAACAAGCATTGTCTGAGAAGATAGTAGAGATGGAAAAAGAAAAAGAAGACAGGAAGCTCAGGTAAGGTTCATGAAAACTTTTCTACAATTACTATAGTAGTCTAAAGTGTACCACATCAGCAGTCTATATAGTTGTTATAGTTGGCCAACGGTATCGTGAGATTTCCGAGATGTAAGAGGCGTATCAACGAGCCCGAGCTCTCTGACGCTCGCTTAGGACACGCTTAGGAGTGACACATTTCGTACAATGACCCGGCATTATATATCTCTTACTCATGCTCAAACATTTAGCTGTTGCGCTCACAAAGATGAATCTAGCCAAATTTGTCATAGTAAAGTAAACGTAAAATGTTCAAGATATCAGTAGGCGCAAAGTTTAACGTACGAAAGTGTGTCTGTTTGGCTACTGGACTATAGCAAGCAAATATGGAATAGGCTAAGGCTGAAGTTCACCGACTTTATAATCAACTGATTAGTACTATATCAGTTGATTAAAGATATTTTAGTGTTCACCACACACTAATCAATTGATTAGATTTTTAATCGGCCGATTACCTTAATCGAGCCCTACAACCCTGTTTAAACATTGATTATATTGACTTATGTCATTATTTGACGTCTCTTGCTTGGCTTTGTTCGAAATGTTTTGTAGTATATGTTAGGAATCAAAATTCAGTCAGAGTTTTATTTTATACTAGCTGACCCGACAGACTTCATCCTGTCAAAAAGCCTACATTGCTTAGACAACAGTGAGTGCTTGTAATTTAATATGAACTTTATACCATAGCAATAAAGCTCAAATTGACTACGTTTTAGTTACAAATCATTTGTATGGGAAAAAGAAAAGGGCTATTTTTAGGGTTTTTCCAGCAATAATTCTATTTTTCTCGCCGTAAAAACCATCCTTGAACTTCAACGAACATTTTAAAAAAAGATTTGGCCAAATTGGTCGAGGCGTTGTTGAGTTATGCGCTTACCAACACATTTTGCGATTCATTTTTATATATAAGAAGATTTGTCTAGCTTTCCGCTAGCGGCTTCGCCCGTGTGGTCTTGTATTATATAAAAACCTTCCTTTTGAATTACCGAAAAAAAACCGCATCAAAATTCGTTGTGTAGTTTTAAATCATACATAGGGATATATGGACAAAGAAAGCGACTTCGTTTTATACTATGTATTGATATATTACTGATAGATTTGTTTTCTGTACAATATAATGATTTATATTGTACAGAAAACAAATCTATCAGAAACACTCAATACTTCAGGTCACTACCAACACAACCAAACAAAACAAAGAATTTCTGTGACAATTTTAATACGTTAGTTAAGAAATAATTTTATATAAACAATGATTTAAACATAATCATATTGAATCTAACCACAGACTACTATTAAATTAATTGTGTAAAAAAAAGTGAGCGAAAGATAACACCACTGATGTTAAAGTTTTAATTGATTAATACTGAAAAATGTGTCATGTTAAATTAAATGATGACAGCATGTCAGGTAACCAAAATATGTCAAATTTGCACAATTTATTTTAATCACTATTCTGATTGAATTAAAGTTTAAAATCAAGTGAAGCAATTTGTCATTTTTGAGTAATCTGACGTGATTTTGTCTAATTAAGATTCTAAAACAAATCTTTTAAGTAAAAAAACGATTTCAATTATTTGTCGCCTGAGAATTGGACATGTGTGTACGCCGGTTCGACTTGCCAAATTTAAAATTAAAGACAACCCCCTCTGCGATTGTGGCATTGAGGAAGGAACTACGGATCATATTTTATTTAATTGTTCAAATTTATCCATTTTGCTTTATGATTTGCTACCATCAAAAGTTCCACGTCCAACAAATATAAAATGTATCTTGAGTATGGAGAATCCCAGCCCATTCAAAATTTTAGCAAAATTCTTTGCAATCAATAATAGTCTTAATTTATAAATATATTTGTTTTCTATATACATTCTATTTGTATTATCTTTAACAATGTAATCAGATAGACGCGCTCAGAGCTATTTTATTTTATTTTATTTAAATTCTAAATTTTACATATTTTATTATTGTTTCTATACGTGTAAAGACCACAAACGTGACATTGGCGGAATTGTGTAAATGCAAATAGGCCATGAATTAAAAAAGAAGAAGAAGAAATCTATCAGAAACACTCAATACTTCAGGTCACTACCAACACAACCAAACAAAACAAAGAATTTCTGTGATAAAGTTATTAATCAATATTTAACAGACAGTCTGTGAACTCCAGCCTAAATAAAGAAAGTTATTAAAAATATGATGATCCGACAGAAGTGACGATTTAGTATTGAGACATTTAAAACAATTTCAAGGAAGTCTTTAGTCACACTGTAAATATTATTTTTCCAGATCGTATGAGTTGAAATTTAAAGTTGATCCAGAATATCATCCTCTTGTTATTGGCAAGGGTGGTTCTGTTATCACAAAAATCCGAACTGACTATGGAGTACAAATCAATTTGCCGAAACGTGGCGAGCCTGATGACGATATAATCACAATTCAAGGCTACGAAGACAAGGCACATCAAGCCAAAGATGCTATTATGGCGATTGTTCATCAATTGGTAAGTAATTGTTATCATGTCCTACTTATATTCTATTTTTTATTATAAATATTTTAATATCAATACAAATTTAACAGGATAATCAATTCCGCGAAGAAGTGGACATTGACCCTCGCGTACACAGGAGGCTCATTGGGCTCCGAGGTAAAAATATCAGACGCATTATGGATGAGTACAAGGTCGATATTAGATTCCCCAAGAATAATGACGATAGTCTAGTCGTGATAACCGGTGACGAGGACAATGTTCTCGACGCAAAGGATCATCTTCTTAACCTGGCAGAAGAATATGTAAGTTTTATTTAATTAAACTCTAGTTTATGTTCAGTATTGGTATTATTGCTTGTAGAAAACTGTTGCCCATTGTTAATATCTTCATTTTACATACGAGTCGGGATACGATAATAAAACTCATCTTAATAATAAATTTGATCCTTCAAAGCACTAAACAATTAAAAAAACTTCCAAATATAACAGAACTAACCTAACCAAACAAAAATCCAATGATAATAACAACTAACAGCAAGAAAATAACCAAAATTCGAAAACGCAGTTTAAGGTTCCCCTTCTTCTTAACTTTAATGGCACTTTGCAACATCACAATTTTGCCAACTTCGCGTAGGAGACCATTACACGATTTAAATACATTATTTCAACCAAACAATTTCGAATTAGCAATTCTATCTTTCTACACGGATTTACCAAAAACAACACGTTAAACGATTTTAATACGTTAATTAAGGAATAATTTAATAAACATCCATTTACGCTATCGCTACTGAGCTCGGAACGGGGGAGCGCGGGAAGTAGTTTCGACCCATGTGTCATGTTAAATTAAATGTATGACAGCATGTCAGGTAACCAAAATATGTCAAATTTGCACAATTTATTTTGATCACTATTCTGAATGAATTAAAGTTTAAAATCAATTGAAGCAAGTTGTCATTTTTGTGTAAGCTGACGTGATTTTATCTAATATTTTAAGCATTTAACCTTTCAATAACTTCGTAATAACTATTAGTGTCAAATTTCAGTTCGAACTTTTAAATACAGTAATTTGAGCTGAGGATTTGTAGTTAATGATCACCTTTGCCTTTTATATGTATAGTTTCCTCAGTTACATGTAGTTTTAATGATATATTTTATCGCGATAGCTGCAAGACGTGGTGGATAGATACCAGCGGCCGGCGGCGCCATCGCTCGGCGACTTCGGCGACGTTCTCGGCGCTGCAGCGGAGAGTACGGCGGCCGCGCCCGCCAACAATACCGGTCCTAACACGGGGTTCGTAGTGAAGGGCGGTCCGTGGGAGCAGCGAGCCCCGGACACCGCCTCCACTCACGAGTTCCCCACCATGCCCGGGGCAGGGCGCGCACCTCCCCCAGCTCAGCCCTCCCCTGCGCCCTGGGGACCAAGACGCTAAATACTATCCTAACGAGTACGCATCGAGCTAACGAAACGTTCACACCCACCAGTCTAGAGACGTTATAATAGTCAATGTAACGATTCGACACTTCATAAAAATCAAGTCAATCACTAAACTTCAGATTATTTTTACAAAATAAAGAAGAATTTGAAATGAAATGAGATATGAATTAAAAACAACTAACTTTTGGGTGTTGGTAGATTCAACTTCTTGTTTATTTGGTAGGAATATTGTTTAAGTTTTATGACATTTTACTCTAGTAATTCCTTCTCTCGACTATCTACAAGTGTAAAGTGCTCACCACTGTTTTTAACTCCTCTTCTATTATACTTATCTGTCATTTAAAATCGTTTCGTTGTTTTGATACGTACCCGTGTGTAGCCTTTGCGTCTCGATACGAGGATATTACAACAATTAAATATTTGTATATCATAATATATGTATATCATATACACGTTTCATGAAGTCTGCCAGTAGAATAGAAAGTGTATGCCACTGATGTATCGTCGCTCGCAGTTAGTTTCGGTGTGATTAGACTACTTTCGCTTTGCGATTGCGATATGTCGAGTCTACCGTTCGAATGTCTCTGTAATTTATAAACGATAGTAAGATCGAATTTACAGTTATCAGTACACTTAGAGTTTCCATGAATCATATTTATATATAGCGCTTTTCTCTGTATCGAGAATATTCCTATCAACTAAATTCATCTCTATCGAGATTTTACAATGAAGTCTAACTGAATAAATATATTGTGCTTATTATTAGTATTTATTGCCGCCATGTTGTTATTGTAATTATTGTTCTTTTATCTAGAATGAATTCTCGTAAAGGTTTATCCTTATTTTTATTTATGTGGGAATTAATTATGTAAGTATTATAATTTTATGGATCCTCATCAAGAGTATAATTATGTTTCTGTGTACTTATTGGATAAATTTATAATGAAATATCTATTTTTCATAATAATTTTCATGATTGTTTTTCTATACTTTTTTATAAGTGTTGCCCATAATAAATGAATCAGTAAGTAATAATAAGACAAGAATGAATATTTTTACAAAGTAATTTGTACATAGTAAATTGCGTTTGAAATATTAATAAAATTTTTTACAAGAATGCTTTTTTATTTGTAACAAATCATGCCTAACAGGGTGAGCTTTGAAATGACATAAAAAACCAAATAGATATATTATGTTGTAGATTGGTGATGGAATTACTAGGACGACACCAAAAACTTGTACCGTCAGTCTAGTAGCCCGACCTTTTTGAATATCCGTTACGAAATAAGGACAAAAAACTGGAAAGTGTTTTGGAATTCATTTGTACGCAAATATATTAGTGGCGCTACCAAACTGACGCTAGTCCACCAGCGTCACAATTACTCTTATATCCAAAACTAATTTGACTTTGCCTCTATCTCGTGACTGATACTTATGGGACTAGATGGATCAAGAATTGCATTAAAAGTCAAAGAGGGTGACGCTCCCACTGTACCATATGTCCATTTACATTAAGTTATATATGGCAATTGTTATTATTGATTATGGGCTGACCACCCCAAAAAATAAAACATTGTCAGGTGACGTTTCCGGTTACCACAAGATGATCATGGTTAATAACGACATAGCGATTCCTTTTGTAATACTAAAGTATAAATAAATAATTCATAGAAGATTCATCTATTTATTTGATACATGGTGTCAGGTGAAAAGGATCAACATTTCAAGTGAGTGATAAAATAAATCGATAGATTTTAAAGTAAAAGCAGCGGAAAAAAGATGGACGGCTTGAAACCGCCGAAAGGCCTTATTTTGTCAGGGCCTAATCAAAATTTTGATCGATACAAACAATTGTTTAACATATATATTGACGCAGCTGGGCTGGGGAAATGCGAAGAGAACAGAAAAATAGCTATTTTCCTAAATGCAGCCGGAGAGGATTCAGTGGAGGTGTATAATACGTTTAATCCAAAGCCAGTAACATTAGAAAATCTTTTAAAGGCATACAAAGAATTTATAGAACCAAGAAAAACGTTAGTCATAAACACGTATGAATTTTTAAACATGAGTCAATGTGAGGGAGAGAGCATTGATCACTTTGTGACGAGGTTAAAAACATGTGCTCGCAAGTGTGAATTTCAATCATTAGAAGACAGACTTATAACAATGATCATAATATTAGGTCTGAAAGATAAAGAAATAAAAGAATGCTTACTGCGAGAAAGTGATTTAAACTTGGAAAAAGCTATAAACATAGCTAGACAAGTCGAAAAAGGAAAAGAACAGATGAAGAAGTTGGAAGAAAGAAGTGAAAACATATTTTCTGTGAAGAAAGAAAAAAAATTTAAATGCAATCGTTGTGGTAAAGAACATTCTATAAGAGAATGTCCAGCGTTTGGGAAAAAATGTTTAGCATGTCTAAAATACAACCACTTTGCATCACAATGTAAAACAAAGAAAGATGTGAACAACCAAATGAAAAGAAAAGTTATGGGTATTGAAGAAGAGGACAGTGGCAGCGATAATGAAATTATGATAAGGTATTGTAAAAATATGTATGTAGTAAACTCTGTTTCTTCTGAAAGTGAAAAGCAATGGTCAGAAAAAATATATGTTATGGGACAGATAATTGTTTTTAAACTTGATACAGGAGCAGAATGTAACATTTTACCGTTTGATTTATTTAAAAGAATAAGTGAAAATATAAAGTTAACCTATAGTAATAAGCTTTTAGTAGTGTACAATGGACAAAAAATTAAACCAATGGGGGAAGCAATGTTAATTTGTTATGTGAGAAATAAAGAAATTAAAATTAAGTTTACTATTGTAGACATGTCAGTACAGCCAATTTTAGGACTAAAAGATTGTGTGAGATTAAATCTGGTAAGAAAAATTGATTCAATTGGGGGTCAGATAATAAATAACAATGAAAAGCAGTTATTTATTAACAAAAATAAAGATGTTTTCACAGGGTTAGGAAAGATAGGTACTTATAAGCTAAAATTGTCTGATGATGCACAGCCTGTTATAAAACCAATTAGAAGGATACCAGAAAAAATTAAAAATAAATTAAAAAGCACTTTAAATAGGTATGAAAGATTAGGGGTTATTGAAAAAGTTGAAGGTACAACAGAATGGTTGAACAATTTAGTAATTGTAGAAAAACCGGACGGCTCCTTGAGACTTTGTTTAGATCCTAAGGAATTAAATAAATGTATTAAACGAGAGAGATATTTGATACCCTCCGCAGAGGAAATATATAACAGTTTGTCAGGTAATGAACTTTTTACAGTGTTAGATTTAAAAGATGGATTTTTTCAGATAAATTTGGACGATCCTGACAAGTGTTGCAGTTTTGGAACGCCATATGGCAGGTATCGTTTTTTAAGGCTTCCATTTGGTATTTCGTCTGCTCCTGAAATTATGCAAAAAATCAATACACAAATATTTGATAATATAGAAGGTGTTCATATATATTATGATGATGTGATTATAGCGAGTAATAATGAAGAAAATCATGATAAAATTGTGCAAGAAGTTATAGAGAGAGCTAGAAAGTATAACGTTAAATTCAAAATTTTTATATCCTAGTAAAAATGAGTTTTCTGTTGAGCCAAACCCATTTTATATTAGTTGTAACCAAAATAACAATACATCCAATTTATTACATGAGAGTGAGAGTAATGGGTTTGATAATACAGAAGAGTCCCAAAATAATAATAATAGGTTAACAACAAGATCAGGACGTATAGTGAGGAGACCTATTCGATTTAAAGACTATGTGCAGTAAAACATAAAAGGGGGGGATGTACCATATGTCCATTTACATTAAGTTATATATGGCAATTGTTATTATTGATTATGGGCTGACCACCCCAAAAAATAAAACATTGTCAGGTGACGTTTCCGGTTACCACAAGATGATCATGGTTAATAACGACATAGCGATTCCTTTTGTAATACTAAAGTATAAATAAATAATTCATAGAAGATTCATCTATTTATTTGATACACCCACTATGACGCGCAATAAAATAAAATAACTTTATAGACTAATTATGTATATAAAAAAAATATCCATCTTATGTCTGGCATGTCACTGACAAATTTTTTACACATTCCTATGCTATTCTTTGAGAGAAATATAAATTTAATATTGAACGCAAACTAACAAATTACTTGTGTTCATAAAGTTATTCTGTATTCGTAATGAATACTATTTCCTTGGTAGTCGCTATTCTTTGACCACACATCAACTCCGGCTTTGTATCGAATAATTTTAGAATGCCTCACCAACGTCGTCTTTTTTATTATAGATAGACAATAGAAATACTCTGTTTACGGAAGAGAGAGAAGTAGATCCAGGCATAAAAGTGATACATATAGTTAATCAAAATTTTGTTGGCAGTGTCCTCTGTAGACAGATCTCTTAGTAGGGATTGGCAATGCTTGTTTATACGATAAGAATACTACTTGTTACTTCGTTCTAAAGTATTGATGCCAAAATACTTGCTATCGATCGAGTTACATGTCTTATTTGTATGATTCCCTGCCATGAACAAATATCTTCTTCTTAAGTCTGTGGCCATTAAATTTAGTTCGTAGTTTATGAACCTGTAGGTAGTAGTAGTATTATAATTCGTCTATGGATTTTATGAACCTGATATGATATTAGAGTTTGGCAAGCGAAACGTGACACCACCTATTTTTCCGTTTTCATATGGCAACAACATAGAACTGTCAGTTTGACACTACGTTAGACAATTCAAGAATATTGAATTTTGTTGTTTTTGCGAATTTGAACTTGTGTTTTTGGTTAAAAATTATGTCGAAGCCGATAAAAAGTTCATCGAGGAAACTTCTTTCCATCATGATTGACAAGTTTACTGAAGTGAAAACTGAATTAAATAAAAATTTCATGGAGAAATTACAACGATTAGATAAAGTTGTATCTTTTTTAGGTTAGTTTTGTATTATAATTTTGATACTTTCGTTTTAATTTTCTGTAATTAACTAAACAGATATTTTTTATAAAATATTGCTCTATTTCAGATAACTGTGATGG